TTTAAAAATATATATTTTGTTGATTTTTTTTACAGAGAGGAAGTGAGAGGGATAGAGAGTTAGAAACCTCAATGAGAGAGAAGCATCGATCAGCTGCCTCCTGCACACCTCCCACCGGGGATGTGCCTGCAACCAAGGTACATGCCCTTGACCGGAATTGAACCCGGGACCCTTCAGTCCCCAGGCCAACGCTCTATCCAGTGAGCCAAACCAGCTAGGGCGACCCTTATCTTTCATTAGTTTCCCCATATATTTACCTTCCCACAGTTTATTCCCCATAGAAGCCTGACTCTCTTGTTCTTTGTCTAGTCACTTCTCCACACTTAATCACTGTTTGTTAAAATGATGTATGAGCTTCTAAGACTAACCACTTCTTTGGGTTTTTCATTTCTTTTCTGTATATTCATATACGGTGCAGAACGAAGGAAGGCCCCGGCTGGCAGCCAGGGAAGGGAGGTCCCGGCCTGCAGCTGGCAGCCGCTAGGGACCCTTCCCATGCACGAATTTCGTGCACTAGGCCTCTAGTGTACATATAAAACTAAAAACAAAATAAATCTGTACGCATTTTTCTTCTGTTAATCTGTTTTTTTCTCAGTTTAATTCACAAGACCCAGACATAGAACCTAAGCGGATAGAGGAAATATTTTTCCTTCCTTACAGAGGCGTGTCAGAAAAAGTAGTTACTAGTCACAGTGGAGTCAAGCAGTGGGAACGTTAACACAAAAGGGAGGGGACCCCCACTATTTTCAGAAGTAGTGCTGACGGACAGACATTGCCTCCAGTCTTTGCTACTTTATGGTGAAGCTACAAGATGTACCCAACCACAATCTCCCTCATCTTCTTCCAGACAAAGACTTTATTATGTATAAAGACTTTTTATGTATGTCATGCATAGAAAGTTTATTTGCTATGCAGGTACAAAGAAATAAAAGATTATTCTATTCTCGAAAAGTATCTAATAGTCTAATACAGACCTATTGAAAGAGGGGTTATACAAAGCAAATGTAAAAAATACAATTGCCTAAGTTAGTAAGGATGGCTGCCCAACAAAACCTCGTCCAATCTAACAGAATCCTCACAGGTTTCTCTGAGCCAAATGCAGAGACTCCAGTTAAGGCTTGTGTTCCATTCCTGGGTCAAACCAACCACTTTCTAGCTTTGAGACCTCAAATAGTTTCCTTAACCTCACTAAGACCTACTTCATCCATAAAATGGGGATATTAGGATCTACCTTTTAGGGAAGTTAAAATAATCAAATGAGATGGGGTATTTAAAGTTCTTGGCACAGTTCCTGACACTTAGAAATAAATGTTAACTATTACCACCACCACCACCACCATCATCATCATCACCCTGTCATTTTCAAGGCGTTTCTCAAACTTTATAATGCAGCACCCCTGACATTCATTTATTAAGAGGGGAAAAAATTATATGAGAGTTCAGATGGTTTGGGATGAAGATCTTTTTCCTCTCAATGGTGTTATAGAAGCAGCATATGTGTGACATCTTTGAAGTTTGTTTTTTACTGTGTATACAAAAGAACCCAAAACATTGGCATCTGCTTCTTCAATGTCCCACAAATTTATTTTCAGAAGACATGTGAAATATTTATGCTGCTTCACTTCCACCATCAAAATCAATAAGCCATTTTAAAGAAATGGTCAAGGTCAGACCTCAGGCTTCCAGCTACAGTGGAGGGTCATCAAACCTGCTTTGAATGCAAGGATTGTAGCCACATCTCATTCAATATCCTTTGGCCCATTTTACATCAAGTCTCAGAATAAAGTCTCTTTAAAAAAAAAAAAAAGGCTTTGTGAGAACATAAGTTGTTTTCTCCACTCCGACAAGCCAGACTGGTTCACCCTAATTTAACTGCAAGGCTCCAGAGGGTGGCTGAAAGGAACAGAAATGCCACGTGTGTGTAAAACAGTAGAAGGTAAAGAGGATTCCATAAGGAATGAGCTAAACCATAAAGCTGTGACACATGTCAGCCGATGGAGTACCACAGTGACACATCTAACAATTAGAAGGCAGAGTTTCGATAGAAGACCTGGGCTGGCCAACAGTGACCCTATAGGAATAAAAAACACCAGTAAACAAGGAAAGGTTAAAATGTGACAGAATTGCTTTTTCAAGCAGAGGATAGGTGATACTTCAGAGATTATAGGAAACATGGCAACCAACAGCACGGCACTTAAAATGGAATCTGATTCTGTTCTGGGAATGACTGTTTGTATTTTCTTTTTCAAATGAAATGTATTTGAAAAAGAAATAAATAAACTGGGGAAAAACAGTGCTTATCACCAGATAAGTAGGGATGGTTTTTATATGTTTGTTATTTTCTAAAGGTTCCATAATAAAAATATTACTTTTATTCTTAACTACAAGATTTTTTTACACAAAATGGACAAATCAGCCGTTCACTTGTAGGAACAACCTAAAATTAATCTGTGCATATGTAAATCTCCCCCATTAGACTCAAGACCCTCATGAGTGAGAACCTATGTCATTGTTCCTCGGAACCCCAGGGTCTAGCACGGGGCCTACGTATATTAAGAAGTGCTTCTGGCGAATGAATTTTGACTGTGGACAAAATCCCAAACCAGGTGACCCCCGGGATAGCCTCAGGAAGGAAACTAAGGAAATGCACAAAGAAATTAAGTGGCAGGGCTTTCCCATGAGTAGCTGACCAGCATCTATCTGGGCAGCCTCCTTTCCAAAAAGGTCCCCTTATGGGGTATTGCCAATCAACCTGATAGATACATTAGCCCACACTATAGCTTAATGTTCCTTATTACTAAAATTTTCCATTAAGTCCTTTGTCCTCTCTCACTTAGCTGTCCTCCTTCTCATATTGCCTATGAATTGAGCCACGCTGTTCTGCCCGGTTCTTGCTTTGCAGAAAGCTAGAGGGACCCTATTTCTACAGTGACCTTATTTGAGTTTGGATGTCATTTGTAAATGTGTGAGGAATCCAAGCTGTCTCTAAACAACAGTCATTTTCAACCATTTGCTTTCTGGTTTGCTGAAGAGGAGAAAGCAGTGATGTTAGACAACAAAAATGATTCCTGGGAGTTTATCCCCAACTGGTAACACTATGGTCCTTAAACCACACCCATGTGTGCAAAAGTACACACTTGTGCACACACATGTGCACATCATCACATTCAATGTCCCTCCAGCTGCAGCAAAGATATCACTTAATGTCTAAAGATACTTTTAAAACCCTCATGAATAGCTCCTCAAGACGTTCTTTATAATAAAGTACAGTACTTCATTTAGCTATCAAATAATAACTATGCTTTGTTGAATACTTGAGGTCATGATTCACATCTGAGTTTAGAAAGTGGCCACCTCCTACATATTCACTTAAGATGCAAATTCCTCATCAGATTCCACATCTCAAGAAGCACAGAGCCCAATTCTGGCCAAGCCCCATCTTTGCTCACAGCAGAGCCAAAGTCCCAGCAACTTTTTCCATACCCAGCCCACCAAAATTTAAGTCCTCTGTGAGTCACTATTCCATATACGTGAGTATGTACACAATTTTCAAATAAAATGACTTGAAACTAGCAATGTATGTGGGCAAAGAAAGAAAACTGAATAATCATGCAAGTTGTAATGCTTCACTAAAGTTTAGAAAAAATCAAGGAAAAATTAATCACAAAAACGCTATGCCTTGCAACCAAGGTTACTTTGAAATGTAAAGTGAATTGATATCTTTCATCAGCCTATGCTATACCGAAGTTCCATGAGATTGGGAGGAAAAAACCTGAGTATGTCAGAACTATTTATTTTCCGTTTCCTACGTTTCCCATAATTACCTACCAAATGAATGTGGGAGAGTTTGTTATGCAGAATTGATCTGAAATACATCAGTCACTTTTAAATTCTCTTTTCTCCCTATTGCAGAAAATATCCTAGAATGGAGTCAAAAAGGAACCAGGACTATGGGCCCAGAACAGGGCTTCGGGTAGTTTAGTAATCTCGCACTCTCCAGCGCAGAGGCCAAACCACTGGGGAGCGGAGGCAAGGACTCGCAGGGCACGATAAAGTGACGCTTCCGAATGGTTAAAGCCGAGATTGCTCAGCCGCAGCCCAACTGTTCTCGCCATGAACCCGACTACAAGTTTTCTAAATGTTTTTCCCAAGACCCCGAGATCAATTCCAAACGCTGTTCCTCTCAAAAGTCCCAAAGGAGACTCGCTCACCCACCCCACCCTGCAAGCAGCGTACTTCCTGTTCTCTCCGGCCGGTCAAGAACTCTAACTTGACAGTGACACACGAAAAAAAAAAAAGGAAGTGGCTACAAGACGATTTCAAGACATTTACTTAATTTCTTTTGAAAAGGGAGATCCATCGCCCTGTCCACCAGGAAAGTTTCAATGGGACGAAGCCATCACACCCGCTTAAAAGTCGCAGAGAATGTCGATGTTGCAAAGCGGAGGGCGACACCACTTTTAAAATACACTTTTTAAAAAATCTTCGAAATCCTCTTGCTATCCAAAATGATCCCCCCTCCCCTTTCGCGAACGCAACAGAGCTAGCAAACTCCTCTCCTGGTGGGTCGCATCTCGAGAGCGAGGCTCCGGGCCGGGTCTGCCCGGCCAAGTGGCAGAGGAAGCTTGCATGCAGGGCACCGAGGCGGTCGGGGGACCCGGCGAGCACCTCCCTTACCTGGTTTGACCGGTTTGGGTGGCGGCTTCGCCATCTCGCTTCCTGGAGCAGCTGATCCTGAAGACGACGCACGAAAAGACAAACAAACGCCCCGCCAGCCGGCGCTCGGTCAACCCAAGCTCCTGGCGGTCCGGTCCGCAGCGGTGCGCCTTCGAGG